TATTTCTGTAACATCACAACTTGAGAAAAATCAACCGCTGGGAAAAGTGCCCATAGTTGAAGAACCACCCCATTATGCCCCTCACTTATTTAATAAATAATGGACATTATTTATTGATTTTGTTTAAATTATTTTATTATATGTGAATAAAGAGACTACAAGATACTAGCAAAGTGTAGGGGACTGGATGCCGGGTACAATGATCAAATGTACAGTTTAGAGGCCTATATGTAAAAAATATCTGACCATGGAATGTTGCAACTGACCAATCACAATCGAGCATTCCAGAGAGCTGTGCAATAAACGTATACTACTCCATGTTAAATGAAAAGAAAGAACACTGAGGCGTGCAACAGAGGCGCCAGAGCTATTGATGACTGTGTCTAAGTGCAAACACACTTGATTGAGCTGACAGAGGGACACAGACGCTAACATGACTAATGGGAGAAAGATAAACAGTGACAGAAAAGACAAGACAAGGTAAAGAGATAGAGAAAATGACTGGCCCCCAGTAGACCTGATAAACCGGTGTGGATGACTTCACTTCCCGGCACTAGGTCCAGAAGGCATAGGAGGAGATGGGGTCAGGGGAGGTCAGTGGACAATGAGGCTTTTCCATTCCTACCCATTTTAATGGCTGAGAATCTGCCCGACTGACCCTTCTCGTGTAGCGCTGCAGGGGAGGGTGTCTGATCCTGACTTTTGACTTCTCAGCTGGTCTTCTCTCCCAAAAGGAATCCATTTCTTCAGTCAGTTCAGCGCAAAACACACCACATCATAGGAATCAGATTACAAGCAGGAAAGCCATCAAATGCAGGGTATGACATACTTTACCAACAAACCACGTTTTTGAATCTTGTACATTCACGGACAGTCACAAACTAATAGGAGCTCAGCAGGGGAACGTCTTTGGGATCGTAGTTCACTGGTTAGTCTAAATCCTCCCTCACTGCGGATTCCTACAAAATAACAGATGACATAAAGATGGCTGCCATTAAATTACAGTACAGAGCTGCAATACAGAGGCGAGCCATGTGGATGTTAGAGCTATCACTCAGTTTGTGGCGTCAAATATTTCTGAAGCTCACTTTCAGCTGACAGCTTCATCTTTAATCACCTCTGTGTCTGGAGAGCCAAATGACTGAAGGAAAAACTTGGCGATATTTCCTGGCAAGTCCTCGGAGAACTTAATCATATATGGTCTAAAGCTCTGAACGATTGCTAAGAATTTTAGTACGTCTGTTCCATGACATCATGACTGAGTGCGCACGTATGCACATATGCTGCCCAATTTTCTAATAAGGAAAGCTGTGTGCATGTGTGCGTAGCGGTACGTGATTTTTCCTCTTATCTTCAACCCTTTAAATGTTTCAAAGGTGTGTTTTTGTTTCAGCTAAGCACTTTCATCAGGATTTGTTTTCTTAGTTGGCATTCATTTAACATGGATCCACAGGTTTGTTTCACAGAAGGTGTGGAACAATTACCCTTTCTGTTCTCCCACTCGGTTTCTGTCTGTGCTGTGCCTTACAGAAAAAAATAACAATAACAGCCTTAGGGGATGTGTTTTAGGTAGGCCTATATGTTGCGTGCTTACTGGCATAAACCAATAAACACCACACCAAAGCAATGGCTGCTGAGATACAGTAAACTATTATCGCCTTTGAGCCCCTTGAGCCCATTATGTCCCACAGCTATTTTCATTCATGTCATTCTCATGCTTCCATGTGTTGATGTGTTGGATCCCCTTTCAGACAGACTTCCAGCCTATTTAAACATAGATCTTCAGACTCAGTTTTTCTCAGACTGATAATATTAGAAAAGCATCTCCCCACAGGCTCACTGTATAATCAAATGCATATGAACGTTAATGTTATATTGAATATAAATTCACCCTCCATTTTACTTAATTTTTAAGGATGCATTGAGTTCATTCTATTATTTAAAAATAAATAAAAATAAATACATACATAAAAAATAAAAACAAATGTGACATTTAAAATTAAAAAATAATAATAAAAACCTGACTGAAGGTTATAAAAAACTGAAACAGAAGTGAAACAAGTAGTAGGAAAGAGGAGAAATAAAAAGCGATACTTATCTGCTATTCGTTGTTTATTTTATTTTAAAGTTTACATTTTTGGTTTATGCATTAGTGGAGAATGTGCTATGACATTTCCATAACACTCATTTTTCTATGATCTAATGAGTGTCACAGTTATCAAAATGGTATAAATCATATTCCAGATGCTAAAATGTTTACGTCTGTGAACGCACTAAATTACACAGCCATAAACTTGTTTATATCATGGTGGTATTTATACCAAGTATTTTATTGCCAGAGCAGCTCGCCCACTTATCCCCAACGTCTGTAAAGATGAACCTCTCTGTAATTCACTTTAAAAGAACCTTAAATCATGTATCTGGTTAAACCTCTATTTAGAGCTGGACATCCCTACTAACTGGACATACCAACTATGAAATGGCAATGACGTTGATGTCTAGCAGATCGGCATCCTGATCTTTCCTACACACGTATCAGTGGTCTTCATAGGTGTCATCAGGTGCTGAGAAGACGCAATTTCTCAACCAACTATCTCACACAATAAAAATACTACAAGTCATAGTGTCAGCTAGTCTTGGCAGCGCTGGCCAACGGGAAAAATCTGAGCATAGAGATGCAAGGAGGGTGAAAAGACAGTAGCGATAGAAAAGAGAGAGTGAGAGAGGGTAATGACAGATTGTAATGTAAATGTAAGGGGTCCGATTGAGCATCTAGCCTGTGCCCTCACCAAAGAATCCAAGGGAAAGTCTCCCTTTTGGATCTTCATACCACCAGACTTCAAACACAGGCCAAAGGTGCAGAACATCACAGGAAAAATACACACACACACAGGACAGGACAGGACAGGAAGGGGCAGCAGGACATATAGAGAAGAAGATAAGACAGGATACGGGGGGTGGGGGGGGGTCTTGTGAAACATTAGAAAGTTGGAATTTTATTGGATACAAATGTCTAGCAATTTTATGTGACACAAATGAAATCTGCTGAGACAAATGCTGAGGAAATAAAGTACTAGACCATTTGGGACAGTCAGGAGAACAAATTTGTTGTACTACAAATACTTAACCGCAACTTCAACTCCCAGTGACTGGAAAAAGAAGAAATGACCTATCACCCACCCTGATGTCTGAGACTGCAGACTATAGAGGTAATAAAATGTGGCCTTAAAGGGATAGTTCACCCAAAAATGAAATTTATCATAATTTACTCACCATCATATTGTGGAGCACATAAGAAGGTGTTTTGAAGAATGTTTGAACTATCTTTGTCCATACCATGAAGATCAATGGGTCCAAACAACAAGTCACAGTGATTTTTAATTGCATGGACAAAAACAAAACAAACAAACAAACAACAAAAAAACACTGAGACACTTTTGTGTTCCACAGAAAAAAGAATGTCATACAGGTGTGAAATAAAACTATTAAAAATAAAATATATAAAATACCTGAAATAAAATGAAAATTGAATAGTAGATGGGAAAAATAAACCTAAATGAACTAAAAACATAAATTTAAATAAACCTAAATCCTGCCTTTATAACTAAGTGAAATTTTTTTTTATATAAGCTGAAGTACTAAAATGACTAAAACTGTAAAAATAAACAACAAAAAAATAAAGCTAGATAAAAATATTTAAGAAAATATGTAATGACAAAAACAAAATTACTAAAACTTAAAATATAAATAAAGCTAATACAAAATATTAATAAATACGACTACAGTATATTACATAATACTAAATAACTCTTCTTTAAAAAGCAGCTATATTGAAAATTCTCTGTTGTACCTTAAAGTCTCTTAGGGAAATATTTAGCCATCAATTATGAAAAATAAATTGAGCCATTATTGATTTCCCCAGAGCACTGACCACCATCAGCAGTCACATGGCTCTGCGTTTCTGGGCTTTGCAAACAAAACAAGCCGTTCTCTCAGTACTCTTTGAATCATACTACACCTCCCAGAGTGATGAGGCCTGTTTGTTTTTAAATCCCATCTGTGGTGAAACCGTGGCCACATGGTCGCCTATTGCAGGTTCGGAGAGGGTTAATCAACCCCAATCATTCTTTAATTCAGCTCAGCTGATTAAATTGTGCTAGAACTGTGCTAACTTCCACAACACATTAGCCGAAATAAAACAAGCCACTGCCGCATGTTGTTTAAAATGTCAACTGGTCGAATGGAAACTGACGGGGCTAATAACAGATCACCAGCCACGGGCAGGCGGCCCATCATTTATGCAGTTGGTGTAATAGAGACTCTTGATTTTTCAAGGCATAAGCCTCATACGGTCCCAGGGCAGCTGAGGACTGAGCACTGACGTTCCTCTGGCTGCTGACCCACCAGGCATGCTAGTTTCCAACAAGCCCAATGAGCATCACCGCTGAATAAACCTTGAAATAAAACAAAACCTAGTTTCTTTCGGTCAAAGCATGTACAATGAATGACATTACTAATCATGAAACCAGGGATTCTGAATTCACAAATAAAGTTCCTTATAATGGCTCCATTGTGCATTTGAAAACATTGTAGCTGGGATGAGACCGAGTGAGAAAGAGATGAGGAGGGTACTGTGGGAGAAGGGGAATGTACCAAGTACCATTTGGGAACAGCTGCCATTCCTGAGTGAAGTGTTTATAGTGTAGCTAACTGGGAGTCAGGGAGATGCCTCACGGGGGGCTCCGTGGTCCAGAGATGAGTATTTAGCCAAGAATACTTCAAAACCCCACAGGCCTCAGAGCGCCATTGGTGTTGGCTTTCACTGTGAGCGGAACACAGTGCTGCAAACATCACACAAAGTTCTCTGAAGATGGATATATTTCAATTTGACGCAATCAGAACATAAATCTCACACAGATTTTATTTAAAATCCTAAAAATTGTACAAGTTCATCTGCATTATTTCGAAAATTAGAGGCATATTTTATTTTTTTTATAAATTTTTTGCAACTGAAGTGCAAAAACATTTTTTATACCTTTCCCCACTTATTTTGTAATATTTTTAACTTACAACTCAAAATGATCAACATCAAAAGTGCACTTTGCATTCATGCCAAATTGACATTCAAATTTATAGATGCCAAAAAAGATACAACCCAGAAAGCCACAAGCAAATTCTTCCTCAGTTCATAAAGAACCACAGTGCCTTATCAGCCATAGTAAACAAGGGCATAAACCATGAGATCTGGAATTACACCTCACAACGCACTCCCCATTTTCTCATGAAGAGCACCTGATCTTGGCGAATGTAGCAGCAGGAGGAAACGGCAGGGATGAGGGGAGAAAAAGAGACGAAGGGAGGGATGTGTTGTCGGTTTCCATGACGCTGTACTTCAAGTCCTCAGGCATGAGCTCTCAAAACCTCTGCACATATGAGACATAAGGTAAACATACAGCGTGAGACTGGACATATGGCAAATAGACGCACACACTTATGTCACACTTCCACATATGTCAGTAACTACACATTCATGTACACACAGCACGCACACATACACAAACATAAACAGTACAGAGAGCCCATTCATCTCACTCATATTCAGTCATACACAGCTGGGGTTCATGTAAATTTGCACAAAGGATGTTGTTAGAAATGTTATTGTTACTATTCTATTACACCTTCATTCTCACCTTTTTTGCTGCTTTTCTACCTAAAAAAAGAGAAAATATTAAGAACATGAAACTTGCACAGGTGAATAGAATAATTGAAAGGTGAAACAATGTTTTTATTCCAGATAACATTAAAATTTTGACAGACTGCCTTAATTAATTCTTTACTTATCAGTCACACTATCACTGTCTACTGATGACAAATAATTGTGACCAGGAGTTGGGATGCACGATTCTGAGATATTACAATCAAAAATATGTGTATTACATTGTTTTACTCTAAGAAAAATAAATCAGGAAATAGTTGTGTACAACAAAGAAAATAAATAAATATTAAATACCTAATTAAATAATTAAATAAATTAATAAAATTAAAATAAATGAACTACAAACAAGATCTTTTTTGGCTAAATATTTATTCACAATAACAAATATATTTATAATTTATATAACAATTTATTTATAATTTATACATGTGTCAGGATTTTGCAAAAAGCAAAAATATACTGTTCATGGTTTAATTTATTTTTATGTTATTAATATTATTTTGTTTATGTATGTATTTATTTTCACATGCTACAAGGTGCCATGGTATTCCACAATATGCAAAGAGGTGCCTCAACAAACTATTTCCAAATGTATGTTTCTTAATTTTAAAGAAAATACATTGGAAATTTGATATGCATCTAAGTGGAAAACCAAGATTTTCATGTTACATGCTAAAGGGACCATATAGATCAAATAGGAATATACGATGCATAGTGTTTTCAGGATGTAAAAAACCCCATCAAATAATAACAATTAAAATGAGGGATGCACAATAAAGTTTATAAAAAAGTTTATAAAGTGGTTTATAAACAACAAATGACTTACCTGCAAGATACTGAGGCAGCATATAACAAATAATTACTAGCATGGCAATTATGAATCCAATGACTGTGATATACCACATGGTAGAGTCAGGTTCTGTGATCAACAAACAAAGCAAAAAAAGTATATTGAAGAGTGCTGAAAATCTGTCATAATGGAACATCATGCCTGCCACCTAGTGGTTATTTGTAATATCTAATTTAAAGGATATTTAGGGACTTTCCATTTGTGCAAATAATTCTGTATTTGGGCTGCATCTGATTCACCTGTAACTATGAGATAAAAGCTCTTGCGGATGGGAGTGAGCAAGGACTTATGGGATACTCTGCAGGTGTACTTATATCCAGAGTCCTCTAGGCCAGGCTGCAGATAGAAGAAGGCTGAGAGCGAGTATGTGCCATCTTGATGAAGTCGATGACTGGAGTACAGAACATTCTTCAAGAATGAAGGCGTAGGGCTGCCTCCAGACACTTCACGGTACCACTCAATGTTTACGTCCAATGGATAGTACCCCTCTGCATCACATATTAGCTTCTGGTCCTTGCCAAGTGTCATAGACAATGTGGAGCCCACATTTATAGACACACGGGGTTGTTCTATGGAGTTTGAAAGAGAAAAAATAAACATTCAAGTGATAGTTCCATCATTTATTCACCCTCATGCCATTCCATACCTGTATGACTTTCCTTTCTTCAGTGGAGCACAAAAGAAGATATTTTGAAAAATGTAATAGCTGTTTTTATCCATGCAAAGAAAGTCAATGGGGTCCAAAACGACATTTGACCCCACTTATCTCTGAAGCTGATTTGAAACAATAAATAAACTATACAAAAAAAAACCGTGAACTGAATTGAATTAAAGAAATGTATCATCTCACCACTTAGGGTAAGGGGAATATCATGGCTGCCATAGAGAGGAGGAACCATCACAGAGCAGATATATGTGCCCTCGCTGTGTTTTCTGGTGGGTGGAAGTTTAAAGGAGGCGTTTCCAGCGGCGATGGCCTTGACAGCTACTCCGCTGCCGTCAATCTTCCCTGTGCGGCTGGAATAGCTGAAGAGCTTGCTGCGCTCCCCGTGCCGCTGCAGTCTCCACTCCACCGTTGCATTAGGCAGTTTATGATCCACTGCAAACTGACAGTGCAGGTTTGGCTCCTTCAAGAATCCCACCTCCACTGAGGGTGTCCGGGTCAAAACAACCATTGCAGCTGGAAAACATATATGGAAGACAGGATGAAATAAAACATGGTTGGGGAAAAAGTAGCAGAGCCCCTTGACTACAGTGGTGCTCTGAAATGAGGAGGCAAAGTTCTCACTGTTTTTTTTTTTAATACGTGTTTTTTAATGAGTACATTCATGTTCCAGTTACACTTAATGTTGACAACAACAACCAACTGTTTTTTTTTGTATGTTTACATTAACAATGTAATTAATATTGTATTTATTAAAATTAAGTATATTTCTCATCAAGTTAGTGCTTTTTAAGCATGTTTACATTTGTTAAAAACAATGTAAGAACACCTTATTTTTTCAGTATTGTTCAGGTAGTCAACTTATTTTCAGATCATCAGTAATCAAAGTTCAGTAAACAATGCAGGTATCGTTATTGTCACACACATGAAAATATACCTGTAATTTAACTAAAGCTGATCACTCACCAAAAAACCCCAACTGATCATGTTTTCAAATCATTTAAATTTTGAATATGACTTGAAAATGCTGGGATAATTGAATATTTGCATTGTTTTATTTTTGTATTATATTCTCATCCAATTTTTGGAGGAGGCACTGCCTCCCTTGCCTCCTAGGAGGAAACACCCCTGCCTGATTGTTACCTGATGTTGACAGGAGATCCCTATCATTGACTATTTTCCATTGCAGGAAGTCCACCTGTCCTTGGGCAGGAGTCGCAGTTGTGTGTCTGAGGAAGGTGGTAATGACAAACAAGCCTTGTGTATGGCGTATTGTACAGGTGAACCAGACGTCATGATCTTGCGCTCCTGCAGTGGGCCAGCGCATTACAATCCCTCCAGTGCTGTATCTACGGATCTCACAGTGTAGTGTATCCTCACTTCCCTCCAAATAACGCCTCATATCCACTTTAGAGGCTGCATTATTATACACAACAAATGAACACACAGTAGATTCATTAAAGAGCAAAGGATAGGCCCTTTATTAAGGTTATAACTTCAAATCACTTTCACTCACCTGTGACGAGGAAGGTAATGGTAGGGTGTAAAGGCTTGTCGCCGACATTACCAAATTGAAGCACAGCCTCTCTGTTGATATACTTGGTTTCTGTGTGGCCTTCTTCATTTACATGAACTTTCTCATCCACAAACGGACAAGGAAGCCACTGAACATCATAAAGAGACTGTGAGCCACTTACACCTGCTCAAAACAAACAAATCAGTAAATAAAGGGAATAATAACAGGATAAACCCAATACTCAATTAATTGTAAATGAAATGTGGAGCTAAACAAAACTGAAAATAGAAGTACTAGTATACACAGTCCCCATTATAAACAACCTTGCAATATAAAAGTGACTTTGTTTCCTTTTAAATATTACTAATTAATTTACCTGATAGTTCCGTTTTATATATAAAATACACATTTTGCATAATATTTCATTATACGAGTAGAGGAGTAAAGGAAGCCAAGAAGGAAAAAATAGTCGGGCAGTAATCTTTACAAGTCATATTTACAAATACCTAAGCATAAAAGTGCTAGGATAAGACCGCCAAAAGTCCAAAACATAATGTATAATCTCGTCCTCGGGACAATCATTCCAGTTTCCTAAAACCGCCATGCAAGCATTTACTTTCTCTTTCGTTTCGTCAAACTGATGCGAGTCTGGCTCTGTGTCGGTTGTGAACGAATCTGTATTTTGAACAAATCTTAAAACTGAACAAATCGCTCGCGTTCAATCCCATGCACTGACTCGTATTTTAGTTAACTGAATATTTTTAGCGAACTGAATGAACTTTGACAAATCAGTGTGCAAGAATGACACAATTCAGTAAAGCGTAACAAGTCTTTGTGAAGGACTTGGTGTTTTTAATGAATCTTTTGAGTGAATCATAACCTGCAAATACGTCACTAAACGACTCAATGAACGAAAGTGAATGAATCTTTTTTTGTGAAGGGATTCAAAAGATTCGAGTCACTGAGGTGAAACTCCCCACCACGTCCGGATGATGGCGCTACAAAAAAATAAATAAATAAATAAAATAAACCGCACGCGGAACATGAGATGGCGCTCGCCTCTTTCTCTCTCCAGCCGTCTTCGGTGACACGGAAGCACACACACACACACACGCTCTGCATTGAAAACTCGAAAGGCAAACGTGTTAAGCATTACCATTCAAAACTAATATTTCTCTCAGATTTCCGGAAATAAACATCTGAAAACGGCATGCATCGTGACAGCCGTGATAATTTTCTCAGCGTAGGGATTCAGTGGATATTTAGTTACATTATAGTTACAGCTGGTGACATTTCTTTGCAAGCACAGAAATCATGGCTCAAGGTAATCATCTTTTGTAGTTTTGATGTGAAATATTATACTTGTACTTGAAACGTTGTTTAATTCATGCATGGCGTTATCTGCGCTTAACATTCTATCATTAGGTTTATATATTTCTATTCTTATAAAATAGCACATGATGACATGATTCAGCCATTTGGATCATATTTTAAAAACACCACCATGATCGAAACGCCAAGTAATCATTACGTGTCCCATTTTATCAATATTCATATATGATCAAAATGACAGAAGGATTCTGAAAGCATTTCGCTGTTTCAAGTAGATCCCACATTAATTTATGGAACAGACTAAATTTATTCGCAAGTTAGAAACATTTTAGCGAACAGTTAAATATATCCCAACACAAACATGAAAATGTCTTAAAATATGCACATTGATTACTGGACTATAACTAAATCAGTATTGGTATTATAAAAAAACAAAACAATATCCAATTACTGATATTTTGGTGGAAACTGCTTAACATGGAAAGTGTTAATACAAGGTTTAGATATTTATCATGCCTGAAAAAATCAACACCTGGTACACCTCTGTTTCAGAGTCATGGCTGAGCTGTGAGAAGACTGCTGTACTACAGGGAGGATTCTTACTTGCAAATCAGATATGCCAACCTGAGCCACTGCTGTCTCTGAAGAAAGAGGACTGGGATCGAATTGGATGTCCAATTGTTAACGCAGTCAAAGAGATATGCGAACATTCGCTCAGAGACTCCAAAGACAGAGTCCATTGGAGAAAGAGGATCCTCTGTATTGTGTGGAGCAAAATCTTAGAGGTGAGAAACAGAGAGGACATCGATATCAGATGGAAGGAAGACCCATTGTTTGCTGTACAGAACAGCCTCCCTGACATTAATCACATTGTGCTGTTTGAGCTGGTTAAGTCGATGAGCTTTTCTACCATCTATGTGGAGCTGCTGTTGTGCTTTCAACCAGCTGAACGGTGTGAAGAGCTCAAGCTGTTAGTTGATCATGTGACAAGCAGCAGTACAGAAGCAGACGTGAAGCTGCTGTTGGAGGTGTGGTGGGAACTACTGAAGAACAAGAGAGGATGTCTTGATGCCTTAGACCAGCTCTTTACAGCTCAGTGTTCACGCTCCATGATGTCCACGACTGAGCCATCACCCCTGGCATCAAAAAGATTCAAACCTGACCCAGAATCAACATGTGTGGTGCACGTACTGTTTGAGGGGCTGAGGAAAATAAAAGAGCATTTGACTTCCTCTGAGTTGTGTTATTTTGCCCTCTCTAATTGCCTGGACACATTGTATGCCAGCTACCTTTTAGATAATGCTACCGATCTCTCCATCGAAATTAAACTCCAAAACATCTCTCGCACAGTGAGCCTTAAAAAGAGAAAGGAAGTGATAGATGGTTTTGACCTGATTCAGGTCATACGTGAGGCTCAGAGAGACCTTGCTGCCACTCTCACTCCTGCAGAGACCAAGCCGTGTGGAATGGCATTCATTCAGGCCATGCAGGTCACACTTGAGATTATATGCTCCTGGGAGGTTATGGGGCTTCTGAAGATGCCCAGTAGTGACCCAAGTGTCATGGCGATCCGTCTGAAAGATAGCCTGGATAGAGTTCTGACATCTTTGGAGCAACCATCACATGCAAAAGACCTGGTTGGAAATGGACAGACTTTGAATAATTTGAGAGTAACTTTGAAAGGCTTAACGGCGTCTTTATCATTCACTGTTCCTGAAAGTTCTGCAGCTGAATTAGCAAATATTTCCATAACCATCTTAGACCATCATCTTGAGGGGTTTGAAGGCCTTCCTGGACTGTTGGCCTTCAAACTTAGTCAGAATTTCAGTGAGACTGAGTGGATTCATTGTCTAGAGAGAAATGGGAGTGCGTTTCAAACCAAAGAGCTTCTGATGACGTTGATCTCAACGCTTACAGCTAAATGTCAAAGTGATGCTGATGTTCAGCACTGCAAAAAGCTCAAGGATGTTATTGTAAACATATTTTCCCACTTGTCCTTACCTGAAAAAAATGCTACGCTTTCAGAAATGCTCTCCATCTCCAGAAAAGGTCTTCACGGATTTCTTCCCAGTTCTGTAACTATAGGTTTCTCAGAGGAACTCAATCTGGCCTTCAACAGCATAATTCAAAGTGGTGCGAACAGCAGACTTGATGCAGCAATCTCTGCTGTGGCCCGAGTTGCTTTCCAGAACCCTGAAGCCACTTTGCGGCGATGCTGCCACATGGCTGTTGTCAACCTTGGAGCCCATGCTATGATAACTGAGATTCTCCAGCAGCTCTCAGGTCTCATGTCTTCACCGGGAATTCACAAAGACAACTTGCTGTGTCGATGCCTGCAGGACACCGTGTGGAGCAAGCTATCCTCACTTCAAGAGGAGAACCAGTTTCTGCAATTCTTGGCTGAGATGATGAAGTGCAACATAACTGGAAGCACAGGGGAAAAGTGGAGTTTCCTTCCTGCAGAAGAAGTCTTGCATGTGTTTGTCCAGCCGTACCTTCTCCCAGCATCTCCCAGCACAAGCAACTTAGTGTTTTGTCTCCAAATTCTTCAGTGCACACTGAGCCAGGAGACCAGGAGTGACACAGTGCATTGGATTATGAGCTGCTCTCCATTCCCGCTTTTATATTGTCTGGCTCAGCTCTTGAATGAGTGCAATAGGTGCTGGGACCAGCCGGTAGAGAGCGAGACGCTCATCTCCATGGAGTCCAAAGATCTGCTGTTGTCTGTACTGCACACACTGGGGATAATAGTTGGCAAGGAAGTGGCCCGTGCTCCTGGTGTTTGGTCCAGAGCTCTCTTTTGGCTCTACAGCAAAGTGGAGGAACTGGATTGGACCGTGCGTTTTTACCTGAAGGATGTGTGGGGAAACCATTTCAAGTATGAAGTTCCAAACACACTGTTGTCAGTTTGTGATCTTCCTGAGCAGGAGTGGTCCGGCCTGGACTTGCCTCAGTATGGACAAGGTACTGGACTTGTAGCATGGTTGGAATGCTGCGCTCTCTCAGACCGTGTTCATGAGGCAATGCTGGAATCTCTCTCCCTAAACTTGCTGAAACCAGATGAAGTCAACATGTTCGGCAAGGGGCTGTTAGTTGCAGCATGTCAGATTCTCCCGTGGTGCACATCTAGGGAATGGGAAAGACTTCTGAAAGTGTTACAAGAACTTCTACAGTCAAGCAAACTCTATGTGCCGTACTCTCTAGAATATGTCGATTTCCTTCCGTTACTCGATCTACGTTCGTTTGCCGGCGAGTTGCGCTTATCAGTGTTTCTTCTGCGGATCTTCCAGCTGCTCTGCAGTTCGAGCTGTTCTGATTGGCTTTCACCTCAAGGCTGGGTGCATACGGGACGGCTTTATGCCAATGCGATGAGGGGCATTATCAGCTCAGTTACTGAGAAGATTCCCCTGCCATCCACTACGCCATCCCCCAAAACCTCTGGAGCTTGCAGTTAGGAAGTCCTGTTTGTGTTCACTCAGCTCTTCTGTCTCGTGCTCCATGTGCAGGTGATGATACCTGGCCAACCAGAGGCACTGTTCCTGTGTGCACTGGAGATTCTGACCCACTATGAGGCCGTGATCTCAGCATATCCCGACAGCTGCACTGCCCTGCAGGGACTCAACACACGTCACTTTTTCTCTACAATCACAGACAATTTGCATTGTGCAGACATGAAAGCTGCTCTACACCAGAAGATAGCTCAGTTATGAGATTACACCAGGAATTCAACACAGTTAAGGATGACTGCTACACCATGAGTGTCCAAAGATCTGCTGTTGTCTGTACTGCACACACTGGGGATAATTGTTGGCAAGGAAGTGACCCGTGCACCTGATGCTTGGTCCAGAGCTCTCTTTTGGCTCTACAGCAAAGTGGAGGAACTTGATTGGACTGTGCGTTTTTACCTGAAGGATGTGTGGGGAAACCATTTCAAGTATGAAGTTCCAAACACACTGTTGTCAGTTTGTGATCTTCCTGAGCAGGAGTGGTCCGGCCTGGACTTGCCTCAGTATGGACAAGGTACTGGACTTGTAGCATGGTTGGAATGCTGCGCTCTCTCAGACCGTGTTCATGAGGCAATGCTGGAATCTCTCTCCCTAAACTTGCTGAAACCAGATGAAGTCAACATGTTCGGCAAGGGGCTGTTAGTTGCAGCATGTCAGATTCTCCCGTGGTGCACATCTAGGGAATGGGAAAGACTTCTGAAAGTGTTACAAGAACTTCTAGTAAAGCAAACTCTATGTGCCGTACTCTCTAGAATATGTCGATTTCCTTCCGTTACTCGATC